GCCAAAAAAAAAAAATAGACAAGGAGGGTAGGAGGGAAGGAGTCCAGAGAGAAGGCACAGGGAGAGGAGGGGAGGGGAGGGGGGAATAGAGGAGAAGGGCAGAGGAAGGAGAGAGGAAGGAGGGGTGCAGGAAAGCAGAAGCCCTGCCATGGTCTGGCGTGAAGGCCTGGGAGACAGTGACAGCTGTGAAGGAGCTGACCAGGAGCCTCCATCCCATGGAGGCGTGTGGGGGAGGGCTGCAGGAGGCATTAGGCTGGGGGACAGAGGGAGAAAATGGACTGAGGGACCTGCAGCTCCAGGGTAACCCTGTTCCTGTGTCTCACAGCCTGGCTGAGCCTCCAAGTGCAGCCAGACCCCGTGTTTGAAGGGGATATCCTGACTCTGCGATACTGGGGAAGGAGGAATGCGGCACTGTCCCAGGTGAAATTCTACAGGGATGGAAAATTCCTCCATCTCTCTAAGGACAACCAGACTCTGTCCATGGGAACAGCAACAGTGAACAGCAGTGGCCGGCACAGCTGCACTGGACAGGTGACATACATGCAATATGTGGGCAGACGAACCTCAAGGACTGTCATGGTTCAAGTCCAAGGTGTGTCACAACTTGGGGGACTGGGGGGAGCGGGAAGGGTGCTGCTCAGGGGTCTGGTCTTACAGGTCAGCAGCGCTCTGGACAGCGCCCCTCTCTCTGGCTTCCCCTGATGCTGGGTCAATCTGCAGGGCCCTGAGATGTCCAGGATGCTGTCCACATGCCCTGCCCCGCCATGGGGCATGTCTGGAGCCAGGGAAGAGGGGGAAGATGCCCTGTGGGGAAAGGGAAGAACCAGCCCTGATGCTCCCCACTTTGAGACCCTGAGCCAGACCCTTCTCCTCTGGGCATTAGGTGACCTTTAAGGCCCTTCTGTCTCTGGCCTTCTGGGACCCCAGAGGGGCTCAGGGCTGTGGGAGTCGGTTCAGAGCTGGTGTGTGTGATGAGAGGCCAGGTGCTGGGAGACAGTGACAGCACTTCCCACAGGCGCAGGGCAGGGTCTGGGATGTGCCGAAGCTCAGACTTCACCTCAGACTCCAGGGGCCTCGCTGTCCAGGACTCCCCTCCTGAGCCGCGGGCTGCCTCTTCCCAGAGCTGTTCCTGCCTCCTGTGCTGAGAGCCCACCCTTCTCGTGAGCTCCGTGGGGGGAGCCCGGAGCCAAGTCCCCTGTGAGGGGAGCCAGACGTCAGCCTGGAAGTTCCTCTTCTCCTTGCACAAGGAGGGCCACACCCTGCAGGACAGGAGCCTCCACCCAGAACTCTGCATCCCAGCAGCTGAGGAGGGAGACTCCGGGCTTTACTGGTGCGAGGCGGCCCTTGAGGGTGGCTGGATCCAGAAACAGAGTCCCCAGCTGGATGTCAGGGTGAGGGGAGGGCGGGGAGACCCTCCCCAGGGGCCTGGGCAGTGGGGCCCCCTGGGAATGTGGGGAGGGGTCCTTAAGGGAGGAGCCTGGGGGGTCCCGCTGACCCTTCCAACTGTGTGCTGACCCGGTTCCTGTGTCCCGTCCTCTGCTCACCTTGAGACCCACCAGCCGAGTTGTGGAGCTCCTCCCCTCCGATCCTCATTCTACCTCAGTGGGGACACCCTGCGGAACCACGTGGCTCCCCATGGTGGAGCCGTTTCCTTCCTTTTCCCGGTGATGTCAGAGCAGCATGCTGGGGACTACACCTGCGAGGCTGAGAACAGTGTATCCAAAGAGACAAGCAAGCCTGAGACACTCTCCGTGGATGGTAGGTCTTGTCCCCCAACTGGGCTGTGAGCCCCAGCAAGCTGGCCAGGGTCAGATCTCACTCCTCTGTGTTCCTCCCGCCATGCTGGGTACAGAGCAGGCACTGCATGACTGACTGAGCATGGACCCCGCTTGGAGCATCTGTCCACTGAACCTGGCAGGGAAACAATGAAGTCCATAGAGAGTGAGGGGCACCGTGGAGGGAGGGCCACATGGTCTTCCATGGAATTGCCCATCCATGTTGACATCCTCTGATCCGTTCCTCATTCCCACTGGCAAGGCTCCTTCAGGCCAGGTGGTTCCCACTAATGCCAACCACTCTGCCTCTCCTGTGCCAGTCTGGGGTGCATTTGTTAATTTCATCCTCAGTGCTCATGGTCACCCCTACTCACCCCCCAGGTCCTCGGGTCTTATCTGCTCCCACTAGCATCAACTGGCTGCTTCCTTGGTTGCCTGCAAGGCTGCTTGGCATGATGGTCATTGCTGCTGCACTTCTAGGGTATTTCAGACCCTGGAGAAAAACCGGTCAGTAACTCTTTCTGGCTTTCTTGATTGCCAAATCCCTATGCCAGGCACAGCCCAGCCATTGGAAAGCCAGAGCCTGACAGGACCAACTGCTTACTTCTGGGTATTGGGAGGAGGAGGGACTTTTCTTCACACATCATACAAAGGGGCCCCAGGAGGGACGCTTACAGCTTCCAGAGCTCACACACACAGACACAGTGTCTCACACGCCCAATCACCCAGAGAGCGCACAGACACACTACTGCACACTGGGGCATGAATAAAGGCACAAACAGGATTTCTTACAAGCCAAACGAGGTGTAGATCAATGTCCTTCACATTTGGAAGACAGTCTGTGGCTGTGAATATACTGAACAAACCCAAGGCCTCCAGTTCTCTTGTTAAAGTCAGCAGAGCTCTGGTCTGCTTAGTGGAGGAGAAAGAAGACATGAGAACTCCAGTGCACATGCATGCTCACGCATACACACTACTGTGCCGTGCTGTGCCCTGGATGAGAGTCCATGGCTGTCAATTCATCAGGAAGGAAGTGTGGTGGAGAGCACTGGGGAATAGCCCGGTCCCAGCACTGCTATTTGCTAATTCAGTGACCTTGGGCCAGTTCCTTTTAAGTTTCACTAAATGTCTCCCTCTTGGGATGTTGTAAGGTCTGAGTTAATGAGGTGACATCTGTCTCATACCTGATGTATTAGCCTGGCACTGAGTGGGTGCTCAGTACATTCTCATTCTGTTCTGAGCACATCACCCCGGCAGGTTCCCAAACTGCCTTTGCTCCTGTTATCCATTCTGTAATTCCTCTGATCAGAGTCATAAAAAGTTTAGCTAAGGGCTTCCCTGATGGCCCAGTGGTTGAGAGTCCGCCTGCCGATGCAGGGTTCGTGCCCCGGTCCGGGAAGATCCCACATGCCGCGGAGCGGCTGGGCCCGTGAGCCATGGCCGCTGAGCCTGCGCGTCCGGAGCCTGTGCTCCGCAAGGGGAGAGGCCACAACAGTGAGAGCCCCGCGTAC